TTGTCATAAGTCTTAGCGTTGGGCACCTAGGGTCTGGGGCGATCTGAGTCACCTAAGCTCTTTGAAGACTTGGTAGGTGGCCAGGTTGAAACCCAGCTGTTTGATTTAAGGGGCGCTTTAGTTTTTCAGGAAACCCTACAATGTTACAAGCCCTAAAGAAGCACTATAACCCCGTATAAGCCCGATAAGCCCGAAAAACCCGATAACCCCTATACAAGCCCCGTGAGCCCTATAAGCCTATATAACCTCCAAAAGCCCGCCGAGAAACGGTATACCCCTACATAAACCCTACAAGCCCTATATAAACCCTACCCTAAATAAACCCTACAAGCCCGAAAATAACTCGAAGCACGGGGACCCACACACGGGGCCACCCAAGTTTGCAGACCTGACTCGTCGAGGTGGGGCTGACGCTGAATGCTAGGGGTTTAGGGTTTAGGGTTTAGGGTTTAGGGTTTTGGGTTTTGGGTTTAGGGTTTAGGTTTAGGGTGTGTAAAGCTTCGTAACTAGGACAACCCGGTTAGAGGCACAGATTAGCTTTGATAGCCCGATGATGAAGCTGCTTGGGCCCGGGCTGGTGGGTTTTTGGGGTGCCTCACCAAACATGGGGGGGGGGGGGGGGGGGGGGTGTACGGTATCAGGGGTATCTTTTCGGGGTCCGGTTTAGGGTTTAGGGTTTAGGGTTTAGGGTTTAGGGCCTACTATTCGGGGGTTCTATATTCGGCGTCCCTTATTCTCGTACATCCCCACATGGTGCTGAACATGAACACAAGTCCCCCGCATTCTTGCGGGAGCCTTAGGAACCCCCGCTGAGCCCTAAACCCTAAACCCTAAACCCTAAACCCCAAACCCCAAACCCCAAGCCCTAAACCCAAAATCTCTCACACCCTAAATCTAAAGTTTTCAAGCCCAAGAGCCCGACAAAGCCTAAACCTTTTGAGTCCTACATTACATGCTTAAGCCCCTAAACCCTAAACCCTAAACCCTAAACCCTAAACCCTACATGTATACTTAAGCCCCTGGAAGCCCCCGAAAACAAGTGACCTGGCAAGGCGCGGCTCCTGGTGGTGGGCGCCGGCGGAATCGGCTGCGAGCTTCTTAAGAACCTGGCGCCGACCTCATGACAATTGCACAATACACCCTACACCCTACACCCTAAAACCCTAAACCCTACACCCCACACCCTAAAACCTAAAACCCTAAACCCTAACCCTAAACCCTAAACCCTAAACTCTAAACCCTAACCCTAAACCCTAAACCCAAACTTTGGGGTCTGGGGGGCTTTGGGGTTTTCCCTAGACATGCCATTGTAGCTCTCTTTTCTGGAGATTCGGGACGTTTTCTGCTTGTGTTCAGGAGGTTCAGGGTTTCAGCCTGCAGCCGCACTCGGCCCAGACATTCCCCGCGGCCCGCACAGAACAAAGGGGGTTAGCCCTAAACCCTAAACCCTAAACCCTAAACCCTAAACCCTAATCCTTAATCCCTAAACCCTACAAGAAGCTTGGTACCCCAGTGGTGCCCTTTACCCTTTTTTGTTCTGGGTTCCCTTCTAAAGTAACTAAACAACCAAAACGAGGTACCCTTTTTATAGGATGGTTCCTGGGCTACCAAGGAAGACAAAGCCGGGGGTTCTAGTGCAAACCTACAAAAACACGAGGTCACGCTTCCCCACTTGCCGTTCCTTTAGGGTTTAGGGCTTAGAGTTTTGGGTTTTGGGTTTAGGGTTTATTCAAGGTCTCTAACCTGGGATGCCCAGTGGTGCCCTTATTCCCTTTTTTGGGGGGAAGGTCTTGGTTTCCCTCATACTACCCCTTTAAGCAAGAAGGGCACCGTGTTTTCATCCTAGGTTACTGGGCAACATATAATATCTTCATGGTTGCATCGTAGAACTGAATTTGGGCAATTTCCCCAAACCCTAAAACGCCAAAAAGTGAGTTTGGGGGGGTTGTGGGTAGGTCTTTCAGAGCAGAAACCCTACCTAAACCCTAAACCCTAAACCCTAAACCCTAAACCCTAAACCCTAAACCCTAAACCCTAAACCCCGAGGTGCTCACCGGCTTCATAGACATCGAGGTGGGCCGGCCTTCTGCCAGCACCCGATCTCCTGTAACCCCAGGACACCCTACTTGGAGCTGCAGGGTTTAGGGTTTAGGGTTTAGGGTTTAGGGTGCTGCTCGTACCATGGAAGTTCCTTTTGTTTAGGGTATAGGGTTTAGGGTTTAGGGTCTAGGATTCTGTTCTACAAGCCCCAGCCCTAAACCCCAAGCCCAGCTTGGCGCGTCGTATCTGGTAACCCTAGTAACCCAGACACCCCCCAGGGCCCTCACAACCCATACTCAGCTTAGCCCTGACACCCTAAAAGCCCGTGAAGGGCCAACCCCTAGAACCGACCCTAAACCCAAAAACCCTGAAACCCTAAAACCCTGAGGTGAACCCCAAGCCCTCGACCCCGTACTGTATGCCCTCATGGAGTCTTGAGAAGCTTTGGGGTTCGTTAGGGTTTAGGGTTGAGGGTTGAGGGGATAGGGTTGAGGATTGAGGGTACTCGGGCTTTGGGCATGGTTCGCTGTTTGCGTTGGACTGCCGTGCCTGCGAAGTGGCCGAAGTCTCGTAGGCCACTAGGACATAGGACATAGGGTTTGAGGGTTATAGAGTTCAGGTTCTGACAACAGGAATTCATAATTTGTTGGCACAACCCAAAGGGTTCCCCCCGCTCCAATTGAAAGCAAGACATCTAAATCTCCACCTGATTGTTTAGGGTTGAGGCTTTAAGGTTTATGGTTTTGGGTGTGGGTATTCGCAATGAGGAGGGTTTTCATTGGGGTGATCCTGTATAAGGCTTCCGAGATTTAGGGGCCCCCTTTTTGGGGAGGGGGGGGGGGGGTGGGGTAACCCTAAACCCTAAACCCTATGTCAGGTGTCTGGAGGGGGATGCCATGTTAAGGAGCCCCCGTATGGCCTACCGCCACCCCTAAGGCCCCGAAACCTCGATTGATAGGCCTTCCCCCTTATACTCACAGCTCCTTAATAGGAACTATAGTACCCTCTATGAGAATCCCTAACAGCTCCTTAATAGGAACTATAGTACCTTCTAATGAGAATCCCTACTAAGAAGCTGTTGGTATAAAGGGGGAACATCCCAAGATAAGCCGGGCGCCGGAGAGGTGGTGGATCTTGACACCATCGATGCCATGGGCTTGGGCAGGGAAAGCCCTGCAACCCTTCAGGGTCTAGACCCTAAACCCTTACAAAGGCTCCCTAGAGTTTAGGAACCCTAAATACACCCTTAAAAGGCCCTAGAGTTTAGGAACCCTAAGCCCTTAAAAGGGTCTAGAGTCTAGGGGATTTACGGCTATGATCACTCAGTATTGTGTTCAATTTCTTTCTATTTGTTCAAACAAAAAGCAAAATAATAACAATGATATGATAATGAAATTGGACATTGATTTATTGTACAATCACAACAGCCCGTGCAACCTGTTACGGCTAGATTGCACTGAGCTTGGACGCATTTGAACCCCTAAACCCTAAACCCGAAACCCTAAACCCTAAACCCTAAATCCTGAACCCTCCCTAAACCCAACCTGTGTGCTGAACACATCTAAGGTTGGAACCATGGGGCCTTAGTGTGGTCCCTTAGCCTTGTTTAAAGGGATTTGGAGGGATCCGCAGTATGAGCCCTTATTATGTGTAGTGTATATAAGGGTTCCGCCAGGGCTCAGTCGTGTGTGGACGCCGGTCTGTTTAGGATGACGTAGTGTTTACGGTTGAGGGCTTATAACCCCCTGTGTAAACCCGTTGCCTAGTCTTTATGCGCCAGACCCCGATCAATCCTAGGGGTCTTTGTTCAAGCGACATGATGCGGACGTATGTTTCCAAGCAGACCATGCAGAAGAACTGGGCAGAGATTGAAACCATTGATGACCGTACTAGTGGGCACTGATATTTAATTTGGTGGGCCTCGGTCCAAAACGGCCGAGCCAAAGGCCTTGCCAGGAAGGCCAAGTGGCCCAAGCTTTCCGACGTGTCAAGCGTGCCCAAGCCCCGGTGGCCTCCAGATGAAACAGCTGACCTGTGGCCTTGGCTGGGAAGTGCTGCGCACTGGGTTTCTTGTTGGCATCCCGGGCAGTTATATAGCCGAGCTAGGGCATTGCAGGTTTGCATCTCAAGAAACCCTAAACCCCGAGCCTTGACAGCCTAAACCCTAGATTAAACCCTAAACCCTAAACCCTAAACCCCGGAGCATCCCTAAGCACCTTGACCCCCTAAGGATTGGCCCTCTGGGGTTTAGGGCTGCGGGCCTCTAAACCCCCTGAGCCCCAAAACCTCCCAGACACTTGAGACGAGGGCCCTGCCGAAACCCCCCTGAACCCCAAGCCCACCTTAAACCCCCCAAAGCCCTAAACCCTAAATCCCCAAAACCCTTAACCCCTAAACCCTAAACCCGAAACCCCCAAACCCTAAACCTAAACTCCTAAACCCTAAGCCCTAAACCCCCAAACCCCCATAAAGCCTCCAAGCGCAAAGCACAGAGGTCTCCAACCTCAACCGGCAGTTCCTCTTCCGCCGGGTACATGTCGACCGGCCGAAGTCCGCGATGGCCCCGGCTCAGCTGCTTGCAGGTTCAGGGTACTTATTAGCCGGGTTTAGGGTTTAGGGTTTATGGGTACTAACCAATTGTAAACTGTACTTATCACTGTACCATGAACCTCCAAGTGAGGATGGGGTTGAGGGGGTTTAGGGTGTAGGGTGTCAACAACTCCAAAAGTCCGGAAAACACACACAGGTGGTAAGGTTTTGGTTTTAGGGTTTAGGTTTTAGGGTTTAGGGTTTTGGTGCTGGCTCTTTTTTTGGATGGAGCCTGTCGGTGTGCCGCGTGTCTTGCTGTACTTTAATCTGCTCACAGGCGCCTCTTATCTTCCTGGCTCTTAAATCTTGTAGGGAATTCCGGAACTAGGTTCCTTATATGTAGTCCCTTGCATGGGGCCATAAAGGTGGATATGAGGAACCTCGCTCCCCAACTCATCTACCTCTGGTTATGCTTCTCCATTGCGAACCATGCAGAGAAGCAGCGCTTCCCAAAAAGTACCCCGACTTCTGGAAATCCCCATACATATCATCCCTTCTTCCCTAAACCCGAAACCCGAAACCCTAAGCCCTATAAGCCCGAAGCCCCAAGCCCGAAGCCCGAAGCCCTAAGCCTTAGGACCTGTGCTGGGGAGCTTTTGCACCTGAGGTCGTGGCAGCTGAAGCTGTGAAACAGTTCCGCCAGACCCTGAGCGGACGCATGTTCATCAAATGCTCCCTTCTAGGGTTCAGGGTTTAGGGTCGTAACTTGGTAGCCCAGTGGTACCCTTTACTCGTTTTTTGGTTCTGGGTTGCCTTACAAAGTAACCAAGCCAAGAAAGGCTGCCCTTATTATTCGATGCCAAGAACCCCCGAGATGAGTAGCCGCAGGAGCTTCAGTAGGGCTGGCCACAACGTGCGCAGACGAATTCCTAGCCCCCAAGCCCCAAATCCTAACCCTAAACCCGACAATGAACGCACAGCGCACTGGACTCTGGACACCCTGATGGGTACCCGGCATAGGAGGAACGTATCCAAGAAGGGCTGTCGTAATCACCCGCCCCGAGCCCTAAACCCTAAACTTCCCCATTAAACCCTACCCAAAGGCTCCAATGTAGTTCCTTTTGGGGTTAGCTATAGGGGATTTTAGTATGCTACCCCCAAAAAGGTACTACATAGGAGCCTTTGGGTAAACACTCAACCCCCTTCAGGCCCCGATGCCAAGATCGTCTCCCACCATGGGAATGTGAAGGCCAGAGAAGGGGATTTGAGGGATGGGACCCCTAAACCGCAAACCCTAAACCCTAAACCCTAAACCCTAAACCCTAAACTTAGCCTAAACCCTAAACCCTAAACCCTAAACCCTAAACCCTAAACCAAAGATGAAGCCTACCTTCCCCATCCTGTACTCCAGCCCGAACTCTGCACCCTACTCCCTTTACACCCTAAACCCTAAAACTAAACCCTAAGCCTTAAACCCTAAACCCTAAACCCCAAGCCGTAACCCCTAACCCCTAGACCCTAAACCCTAAACCCTAAACCCTAAACCCTAAACCCTAAACCCTAAACCCTAAACCCTAAACCCTAAACCCTAAACCCTAAACCCTAAACCCTAAACCCTAAACCCTAAACCCTAACCCTCAGCCCTTTGGTTTGAGTTTGGGGATGCTACTGGTTTTGGGGCGTGAAGGAAGGGACCCGTAGTTCCTATAGGCTCTTTGGGTACAGAACTCCGTTTTGGGGGGTGGTCGGCTCCCTTGTCGACCTTCCTCAAGACAAGATGGCAAAACCCCTAAGCCCTAAGCCCCAGGCCCTTTCATTCCTAGGTTACTCCGGCAGAGTTGATGGAGGCTCTGGGTTTAGGGTTTAGGGTTTATGGTTTAGGGTGCTCATTCGGGGTTTTGGCCGTGGGTGGTATGGAGACCATTAAATCCGAGTCCATAACTTGTGGGGCTTGGGGCTGAGGGTTTAGCAAGCACCTGAATTACTTGCGTCTTCCCGAAAAGCTGTTGGTTCCCTTATGCTTGAAACTTATAACCCTCAGCTACCCCTCTCCTTCCCGAACCCTGAATCCTAAACCCCAAGCCCCAAACCCTCCTCCGTGCAAAAGGTTTGGTAGGGCCACCCTCCAGCCCGAAACCCTATGAACCCAAAACGTAGGCCTAAACTACATGGGGTGTCGGGTTTAGGGTTTAGGGTTTAGGGTTTAGGGTTTAGGGTTTAGGGTTTAGGGTTTAGGGTCCAACCCTCAGCACCCCACCCCGGAAAACCCCCGAATCAGGACTCCGAGTTCGGCCTGGAGTTCGTGTCCAAATTTGACATCGTCGTGGGGCCCTTAGTCCTTCTAGAATAATGCAACATACCCCAAACCCATAACCCTAAACCCTAAACCCTAAACCCTAAACCCTAAACCCTAAACCCTAAACCCTAAACCCTAAACCCTAAACCCTAAACCCTAAACCCTAAACCCTAAACCCATACCCCGTAACCTCTAAAAGGAGAGAATGAGAAAGGATTTTACCATAACCCCCTCAACTTCATGTAAGGGTATGCCCAGGGGTATGTTAAATATGTCTTAGGTCCTAGGATGCCCAGTCGTGCCCTTATTCCCTTGAGGGGGTTTAGCTTCCTCTTATAGACCCCGCTAAGCAGAAAGGGCACCCTGTTCAATCCTAGGTTGCTGGGCAACCTGTCTATTTGTTGAGGGTTGGCAGGCGACAAAGTACTCATTGGGTAGTACGAATGAACACTAAGCCCCAAACCCTCAACGCTAAACCCCAAACCCTAAACCCCAAAGCTAAAACCCCAAGCTTTGAACCCCCAAACCCTAAACCCCAAACCCGAAGCCCCTAAACCCCTTAAACCCCAAGCCCAAAACCCAGGGGTTTAGGGTTTAGGGTTTAGGGTTTAGGGTTTTGGGATCTAGTTAAGGCCGGAGCCCGAATCTGCCGCTCTCAGCGCCCTAGGGGTGCTGCAAGCCTGTGCGACTCATTGTAAATGGAGGCCAGAGTTTAGGGTTTAGGGTTTAGGGTTCAGGGTTTAGGGTTTAGGGTTTAGGGTATAGAGTTTAGGGTTTAGGGTTTAGGGTTTAGTCAGGGTCTAGAGTTTAGGGTCAAACTCTTTAGGGTCAAGACTGCAGGCCTTAATTTCCTGCAACAGCCCTACTTGAAGGTTCGTGGGGTTCAAAGGGTCTTGGTTGGTTTGGGGATAAGAAAGACTTCTAGAGAGGGCTTAGGACTGCACAGGGGGTTGCAGGAAACACTGGTACCCCCCATTCCCCCACTCCAAGCCCTAAACTTTTGGGATTGCACAGGGGGGTTTCAACAACACCAGCAACCCATCTCCCCCACTCCAAGCCCTAAACCCTAAACCCTCAACCCTCAACCCTAAACCCTAAAACTTTCGGAGTCCAGGGTTCCAGCGTTTCCCAGGTGAACGCCCTGGACAATCTCGAAGCACGTCGCCACGCCCTTCGGCTTACCGGTGGTGCCTTCAGTTTCATATATATTTATATATATATGTATATATATATATATATAAATGTAAATGTATATATTATAACTTTTTTGGCTTTCGGTTTAGGGTTGTAGGGTTTGGGGCTACAGGATTTGGGGTTTTGAGGTCCAAGGCTCCGGGATGGTGGGCTTCGGATGTGTTTTTGGGGGGGGCGCAGGGTGGCTTCAAGGCCTGCGACATCAGCGGTTTGAAGTGGTAGCTCAGTTTAGGGTTTAGGGTTTAGGGTTTCGGGTTTAGGGTTTAGGGTTCTTTGGATCCCACGCTAAGCGTACACGGTCAGGTCTCTAAGTGTTGGTCCCAATTTCGAAGATGGGGGGGGGGGGGGGGCGCATAGGGAAGCTGGTCACATGCCTACTCTTGTCGTCGTTTGAGGTTCTTTTCGGTGGCAGACTTTAATTGCAAGCAGTTCGTAAGGAATGATGCTGTATCAGCGCATACACACACACACATTCTGGGAAGTTGTTCCTTCTTCGTTCCGCTTGTTTCCTTCCGCGAGGTGAACCGGCTGTGTCTCGCCGCAGACAAGCCGCTCCTAGAAGCGGGAAGTACTGGCCACTTGGGACAGGCGAGGAGCTGGGTGTGGGTCTCCTAGCTGCAGGGATATGTTGAAGGAACGAATTTTTCACCGAGCCCGGACGGGGTTCACAGTCCTTGAAGCACAAGAGCAATGGTAGTATGGGGTCGATGGTCCCACTCTTTGGCTGCACTTGTACAGGGCTGGGCTCGTCCTGCACGTGTGCAGGGTGGTGCTGGGCAGCTCGTGTCGTGCTGTAAGACATAGATAGGGGTTGATCGTTGCCCCCATAAAGACGCGGTCTCTGCTACTGCTTATGCTCCTTCATATGCATTCATGTCTTAAGCCCACAATTTCGCGTAGCCCCTGAGCGCAGGAGCTTGCTTGCAGTCCACCTGCCGCAGCCCACGGGCTCGAGAAACCCACCCATAGAAAGGCTCTGCACACGGGTGATACCTACCCGTGCCATGTGGGGCCTAATGGGTGATAGCTCGGTTTACTGCAACTTAGGAAAAGTTAAGCTTTAAACCTTTTGGCTTTCCTTACTTAGCAGGAATCGTAAAGCTTATCCCTTTTTCTCCCCTTGACTCTTGGGGCAAGTAAGGCAAAGACGGCACGAAGAAGCGTGCCCTCACAGAACACCTGCGGGAGCGGCTTCCTGGCGTCAGGGACTTGACAGTGACGCCGCTGCCCAACAGGGGCTTGCAGCAGATCCTGAACGTCCTAAAGCAGGGGCCCCACTACGAGGTCGGGGGCTGGACAACGTCTTCTGTGCCTAACATGTGCCTGTCAGGTAGTATAGAATACAGAAGACGCTATGCAAATACCAGATATCATATCTAAATTAAGTACATAAAGCATATATGAAAAAAGCAGAACGTAAAATACAACATATAGCATAGAATATGTCAATACGAAAAATGTGTGTGTATACACATGTATATACCGCACAGGGTTCCTATGTTCTCCCCCCAAGAAAGGCGTAAGGGGCCCTAAGCCCGAAACCTTCGAAACCTGCGAGGTCCTGGGCATCTCTTACTTTGGGAACGACTCTTGGTAGCCCAGATGGGGTTCAGGGCAAGTTTAGGGTTTAGGGGTTAGGGATACCCTTTTTCCCTTCTTTGTTGGTTCAAGAGTTTCCTTAGGAAGTAACCAACTCCAAAAGAAGGGTGCCCTCGTAGCTACACCCTACACCCTAAACCCTAAACCCGAAACCCTAAACCCTAAACCCCCTGGTATCGTAAGCCCCCATATGGTTCCTGGGGCGACCAAGGATTTGAGTCGAGGGCTCACGAGGCACCTGGAGGAAAGCTTGGAAGAGCTGGCGCCTGGGAGCGGCATGGGAGATCTCAATGGGTGTAGAGGTTCAGGGGTCAAGTATACGTATTATGCATATATATATATATGTATACATACTCATATACATATGTGGCATATGTCTATACATATATACTATGTATGTATATATACATCTCTTGTATGTGTGTATAAATATATGTACGCCCACACCAGTTGCCAGAGAATCTGAGTTCAGGGTTTAATTCTGGTCCGTGTGTTTCGCCCCAGTCTGTTTTGTTTTCTCCATCCGAGGTGGAGGTGGCAGGCCACAAGGCAGACTGTGTGGTTTTCTTCGTCGGTGGCTACGCGAAGCGCTTTGCCACAAAACTGTGGAAGCAGGAGGTGCGGGTCAGAGGTTTCAGGTCTTTGGGTGCAGGGTTTAGGGTGCCCTCCAGCCCTAAACCCTAAACCCTAAATCCTAAACACCCCAAACCCCTGGCATGCTTCCCCAAAAGACACCCGGGAATCCCTCAAAAGAAAGCCCCGGAAAAGTAGCTTAAATGGCCACTTCTCTAAAGTTTTCGTACCCTTTTTTGGGGTTCTTATTATTGCAAAGCGGCCCCTCTTATTTTAGGGTACCCAAAAAAAGGGACCAAAATTAGCGAACGGAACAAAATCCGGCCTGCCGAGGAAGTATACGGGACTGAACCTGGATGCGCGCTACGATCAGGGCTTGTCCAAGATCAGGACGGCGAGCCCAGGGGGACCCCAGAGCAGCCCTGTAAATTATTGAGGGGGAAACGGACCCCCCCAACAAAGTAAGGGATCCTAAACCCAAAACCCCATAAATCCTATAACCCCTAGAACGCCTGTAAACCTTGTTCCGTATACCAAGCCAGTCTGTCCCATTGCTTTGGGGGGTACGGGGCTCTTTGGGGTGTTCGGGTGATGCCGCAGTTGTTGATTGATTTTGGGGTTCCTAAGCTGTGTGGTCAGTATAAAAAAGAAAGACCAGGAGGTGCCCACACGGGAACTGGGGGGGGACCCTAGACCCTATAAACCCTGAACTCCACAAACCCTAAACCCTATAAACCCTAAACCGTAGGAACCTTAAACCGTATATACCCTAAACGTTAAGCCTTGTAAACCCAACACTAAACCCTAAATCCGCAAGACCCTAAACCGTGGGCTCGTAGCACGCTTGAACTTGCGAATGTCCATTATATAACAACATGGGAGTTTACGATAAGAAGGGGCGCCCCTAATGTAGACCCCCAAAATAGTTTTATCCCCTGAAAGTAACCCCAAGAAGATACCCCCCCCCCCCCCCCCATTTCGGAAACCCACATACGTCCTTACGAGCAGGTTGTATGCGCAACCCTCAACACTAAACCAACAACTCTACCTAATAGTTTTTTGGTCCTTACAGGCAGACAGTCTGCGTGCATTTTCTATGATGCCCAGCAGTACCCCTATTCCCTTTTTGGGGGTTTAGATTCTCTTGCAAGCAAACAAGGGCACCCTGTTGAATTCTAGGTTACTGGACAACTCCCACAACCCTAAACCCTAAACCCTAAACCCTAAACCCTAAACCCAAAAAAAGAGAACACCTAAACCCCAAACCCTAACCCCTTGTTTTCGGCTCCGGTACTTCAGGAAGCGACTGCGACGCGCTGGCTACTTGGTTACTGACGGACGAAGCGAGGTGCTTCGGGGGACGAAAGGGAGCCTCGGATAGGGATTAGGGTTTAGGGTTAAGTTTAGGGTTTGGGGTTCAGTTTTGCCCCAAAGCAAGCCATAAATCTCAATGAGTGTCCGGCAGGGTATACTCAAGCAGACCCCTAAGGTCGTACCCCTAAAGGTTCCCCCAAAACGTACTCCTAAAGTGGCGCTTGTACTACCTTGCGAATCCTGAAAAGGGGCTCCCCAAAGCCCAAGATTTCAATGTTGAGGGTCCCCAGGTGCAACCCCTAGATATCCTGTAGACCCTATCCGTCCATACCAGGATGGGCTAGTAGGCCTTAAAATCCCCATCATCAACCCCATAGACCCTAAACCCTAAACCCTAAACCCATCCGTCCGTAGGTGGAGATGTGGCCGCTGGCGCGCGATGGCATTCACTGGGACGCCAGCGCCAGGGAGGACGGATGCCACCTTCGCTTTAGGGTGTAGGGTTTAGGGTTTAGGGTTTAGAAGTTAGGGTTTAGGGTTTAGGGTTTAGGGTCTCTGAACTAGGGTAACTGGGGTCCCTCCAGGATGGGCCATTCTACCCTATCACCTCGAAAAGAGGCCCTTTACAGGGTTGGTTATGGGGATTCTAAGGCCTAACAGCCCATCCTGGCTTTTGGGGTCCCATCAGTACGGCACCCTTATCATAAGGACTCTATAACTAGGTAGGCCCTTATTCCTTTTTGTTGAGGGTGCAGGTTCCCCTATACACCCCTTTAAACAAGAAAGGGCACTTTTGGTATTCCTAGGTTACTCGTGGGTCTAGATAAGCCGCCTCAAATACTTGGCAGCCCAGTGATGCCCTGTTCCCTTTTTTGGGGTTCAAGGTTCCCTTATCAAGAACCCTAAGCCCTGTACCCTAAACCCTAAACCCTAAACTTCTACCCAAACAAGGGTGTCATTATGGTCTGGTTACCTCAGTCTACAAGCCGCCCTGTACCCCAGGGACTAAGTGGACCTGGAAAAGATTCAGGGCGCATGTGCCTGAAGACTGTTTTTAGCACTTGGAGGTTCGTGGGCTCTTATATATATATATATAAACCCCAAATATACGTCTTTTTTTACAACCTACTTAGGGGACTTCGGGGGCGTATAAGTGCCAAATAGACTTGGGGTGAATTAAAGTCCCCTGAACCTCCAAGTCACATGGGGCTACAGCGAAAATACGGGCGCCCTAATTTTGTCCCCCAAACTGTTGATCTCCTCATAAGAAGGACCCCAATAAGGGACCCTCAGTTTCCAATTTCGGAAACCCACATATGTCCTTACGAGCAGGTAGCATGCGTCACCCGAAACCCTAAACCCAGAGCCCAGATCCTAAACCCTATCTTAACTTTTTTTGCATTCCTTACAGGTTTCATTTAGCCTTTTCGTGTCCGAATCTGCGCGTTCGGACCCACATGTTGTGTTTGCTTTCCGAACGCACGGATCTGCAAACTCCCAGATTCTAAAGTTTAAAAGCCTGCTGCCAACCTTACATACCCTTAAATAGGCTTAACAATCCCTACATAGCCTTAATCCTGGGGGGAACCTCGGGGGATTAGTTTTGAGGGGGTAGCAGGGGAACCCATGACAGGAGGTGTGTGACTTCTGGGCATACCTGCTCACCTCGGCGAGGCAGACGATGGAGACGGCAGGGGGGCCCAACACGGGATTAGGTTTGATTGCCCCCCCCCCCCCCCCCCCCTCTGGTTCTTAGTAGGGAATGGGGGGGAATTTAGGTACCCTACATAATTTCATCCCCTAAAGGGGGTATATTTATATATATATATATACATATATAGATATACACATATATATATATATAGGGAGGGATTTCGTGTACCTCATTCCCTCATTCCCTGATTCGTTAATTACTAAGAACCCATCAAGTTGTTTAGGGTTTAGGGTTTAGGGTTTAGGGTTTAGGGTTTAGGGTTTAGGGTTTAGGGTTTAGGGCTCAGGTTTGCACCTTTGCCTTCCGCTCGTGCCTCTGCAGGTACCCAAAGAGCCCCATACTCCTTAATTAAGGAATTATCCCTTAACTTATAAAGGGATCCTTAATCTGATTTAAGGTATGTTCCTTATTTAAGGTATGTTCCTTATTTAAGGTATGTTCCTTATTTAAGGTATGTTCCTTATTTAAGGTATGTTCCTTATTTAAGGTATGTTCCTTATTTAAGGGGTATTGGGCTCTTTGGGTAACTTTGTACATGCGGGGGCTGTTCTAGTTAGGCTCCTCGCGCGATCTCTTCCCTAAAGCTTTTGAGGGCCGCTTCTAGGCGGATCCGAAGAGCTCTGAAGCATGCCCTAAACCCTAAACCCTAAACCCTAAACCCTAAACCCTAAACCCTAAACCCTAAACCCTAAACCCTAAACCCGAACCCCTAAACCTTTAAACCCCTAAACCCCTAAACCCCTATGCGCCTTTCGTAAGGCGCAACCAGTGCAATTGGACCGACAGCGCGATTCGTTTGGCGCCCTGGCGAGATATGAAACCCTGAAACCCTTTTTAGGGTTTAGGGTTGAGGGTTGAGGGTTTAACCCCAAGCCCCAAACCCTAAAACCCTCAGCCCTACACCGCTAGCGGTGCAGGCTTAGGATTTTGTGCAATGCCCATGGTGCTTTTTGTACTGCGGTCTTGTTTTGAGCTATTAACCTAAACCTCAAACCCTTCCGTAGAGGACACCTGAGAATCTTTGTCAGGCTTCTAGTTTACAGGCATACCTAGACCTCTAGTTGCAGTTTTTTTTTGGGCTACCGAATTCCTAAACTGAGACAATGTATAGTATCAAGAAAGCTAGGCACCCCCCCCCCAAGAAAACTAACGCAATGAATATTGTAGAGGAGGTACTTGGTACTTACAACCCCCCATTATAAGCACTTACAAACCCCACTTGTCAGTCTACTCATAACCTACTTGCAAGTTAGGGTTTAGGGTTTAGGGTTTAGGGTTTAGGGTTTAGGGTTTAGGGTTTAGGGTTTAGGGTTTAGGGTTTAGGGTTTGTTTAGGGTTCCTACAGGGCTATAAGTACTTGCCAACCCCCAACTCGAAGTCTACTTACAAGCGACTCAGAGGACTTCGGGGGGGGCTTAGAAATGTAGCTATATTTTGGGCTACCAATACCCTGAACCTCCAAGTAGCCTAGAGAAGCTCGGAGGTCGAACGGCCACCTGCTCCCTGAGCTAGGTTTAGGGTTTCGGGTTTCGGGTTGAGGGTTTCGGTTTAAAGTTTAGGGTTTAGGATTTAGGGTTTAAACCCTAAACCCTAAACCCTAAACCCTAAACCCTAAACCCTAAACCCTAAACCCTGGGGTCCCATTGCACGTAGAAGGTGTGTATGGAGGATTCTGTACATGGAGGGGGGCCTTCTTTCTAATATTGTTGGGCACCCTATTATAAGCCCCTGTATCATAGCAGGATTTCAAAAAAGCCCAAAACACTACACCCTAAGCCCTAAACCTTCTAGGATGCTTGTTAGTATAAGGGGAACATCCCAACCCTAAACCCTAAACCCTAAACCCTAAACCCTAAACCCTAAACCCTAAACCCTAAACCCTTAGGCAACTGCAGCAGAAGCAGCTGGCACAGCGGCGGCGATGTGGCGGAGCCTCGCTCACGAGGCAGGGCTGCGCAATCTTCAACCTTACCCGGCCCTGGAGGGGGGTTTAGGCTTTAGGGTTTAGGGTTTAAGTTTTAGGGTTTAGGGTTTATAAGTGTTTAGGTTTTAGGGTTTAGGGTTCAGGGTTTAGGGCTAATTTTGCGATGCACATATCAACTGGAGCGGCTGAGCATGGTGCACGGACACGTCTCGTACTGCTGCCAGACAATGCAGATGACCCTGCCCACCAATTTTTCACATGATGGTTGCGAGGGCGCGCTTCCCTACTACCCCGTTTATAGAACCCCCCCCCCCCCCCCTAGGTCTCCCTCTTAAAGAAACCTTAATTAGGCTGAATTATGAGGGGAACCTACGGGGGGGTAGTATAAAGGGGCGTAGTAGGGGACCCATGATGAACTGATGAAGGCGCCCGTGTTGGCTGCAGGTCTGTAAGTGGCTTAGTTTTTCCGGGGTGAGTGAGCTGGGTTGCTCAGCCATCATAAGGTCACATAGGGGTCGGAAGAATTACTCATGGTGTTCCCTTAAGTGGCCCCTTTATCAACATACCATCATAATCCCCCCAAAACCCTATTCCAATCATTCAGGCCCCTACATTAGTGTGCCGGCATCAGTGTGGTGGTAGCCTTGGCCCCAAGCCGAAACCGGTGCGGGATTAGGTGCTTTGCAACCGCGGCCCTTCCTGACACACTTTTGCTGGACCCCATTATCATCCTTTAAACCTTTTTGGGGTAAAGGAGGGCCTATTTTTTTGGGTCTTTTTTTTTTGGGGGGGGGGGCTTTTTTTTTGATTTTTTTTTTCGTACGAAAAACAGTAATTTCTCTGTGGTTTCATAGGAAAGCGTTATTTCTGGTACGTTTTAGAAGGAAAGAAGGAAAGAAAGGAAGGAAGGAAGGATGAAAGAAAGGAAGAAAACAAGGAAGGAAGGAAGGAAGGAAGGAAGGAAGAAAGGAGGGAAGGAAGAAAGGAAGGAACAAGGAAGGAAGAAAGGAAGGAAGAAAGGAAGGAAGCAAGGAATGAAGAAAGGAAGCGTGCTTCGAAGCCCAAGAAACTAGTTGAAAAACATCGTGTGAGCATTGTGTTTGCAAATGGGGGGGGCTGCGCCCCCCCCAACCCCCCCGCTTTTTTTGTTTTTTTTTTAAGCCGTGCAGAGCGTGCGTGCTTCAAAGCCCAAGAAACTTGTTGACACCCATCATGTGAGCAGGGTGTTTGCAAATGGTGGGGGGGGCTGCACCCCCCCCAACCCCCCGCTTCTTTTAAGCCGTACCAAGCGTGCTTCAAAGCCCAAGAAACTAGTGGAAAAACATCGTGTGAGCATTGTGTTTGCAAATTGGGGGGGGGGCTGGCGCCCCCCGCTTTTTTTAAGCTGTGCAGAGCGTGCTTCAAAGCCCAAGAAACTTGTTGACACCCATCATGTGAGCATGGTGTTTGCAAATGGGGGGGGGCTGCGCCCCCCCCAACCCCCCCCGCTTCTTTTAAGCCGTACCAAGCGTGCTTCAAAGCCCAAGAAACTAGTTGAAAAACATCGTGTGAGCATTGTGTTTGCGAATTTGGGGGGGCTGCGCCCCCCCCAACCCCCCCGCTTTTTTTTTAAAGCCGTGCAGAGCGCGCTTCAAAGCCCAAGAAACTTGTTGACACCCATCATGTGAGCAGGGTGTTTGCAAATGGGGGGGGGCTGCGACCCCCCCCAACCCCCCCCGCTTCTTTTAAGCCGTACCAAGCGTGCTTCCCAACCCAAGAAACTAGTTGAAAAACATCGTGTGAGCATTGCAAATGGGGGGGGCTGCGCCCCCCCCAACCCCCCCGCTTCTTTTAAGCTGTACCAAGCGTGCTTCAAAGCCCAAGAAACTAGTTGAAAAACATCGTGTGTGCATTGTGTTTGCAAATGGGGGGGGGCTGCGCCCCCCCCAACCCCCCCGCTTTTTTTAAGCCGTGCAGAGCGTGCTTCAAAGCCCAAGAAATTTGTTGACACCCATCATGTGAGCAGGGTGTTTGCAAATGGGGGGGGGGGCTGCGCCCCCCCAACCGCCCCCCCGCTTCTGTTAAGCCGTACCAAGCGTGCTTCAAAGCCCGAGAAACTAGTTGAAAAAAAAGTATGAATCCGATGAAAATATAGAGGGAATGATAGAAACCAAGAAAACGAACCAAATAGGGTTTTCCCTAGGACAAACTAAGGAAAAGCAACGTGCGCTTTGACGTTTGACGAAATCCGTCCAAAATGTAATCAGAAGAGGGTTTCCTTAGGAAAAACGAACGAAAACCTCGTTTTTTTCAAGCCGTGCAGAGCGTGCTTCAAAGCCCAAGAAACTTGTTGACACCCGTCATGTGAGCATGGTGTTTGCAAATGGGGGGGGGGGCTGCGCCCCCCGCCAACCCCCCCCCCGCTTCTTTTAAGCCGTACCAAGCGTGCTTCAAAGCCCAAGAAACTAGTTGAGAAACATCGTGTGAGCATTGTGTTTGCAAATGGGGGGGGCTGCGCCCCCCCCA